GTTTAGGCTTTAGGTCAAACATTAGGGCCCAATAACAAAGGGGATAAGTGGGCTAACATCTTAAAGCCATCCAAATCGTTCGGGTCGGGTCATGAGCATCACTAATACAATTAGGCTACTTCAAATGGCCCAGTGGGTTACGTGGTTCGATTGGTCCGATTGTGGTGTCAACATATCATTTCAATCATCGGCCGATGCCTATGAAATATTATCCAACTAAAATACCGATTTAACATCATAGCCCGGATTTATTGGGTATCAAAACCCAACATAATCTACAATATAAATTTTCACAAGTAAACTATAAATAGATGGTGACTAATTCTGTGTGGCAAATCAAGAGAAACATCCTTCTTTTTCTTTCATCTCATCCACATATACAGAAATGGAACCCTTATCTTCTATTTCCTTTTCTATTACATCCAAATCTCGATCAAAATCACACAGAATATGAGATGTTTTCCCATTTTCGAGCCCATGTTCAACATCACATATATCAGTAACCAAAGTCGATATCTTTCATAAGTCCATAACAAGGATTTTTTGCTTCCACTTCAAAATGGTTGTACAAAACTCATTGATTTGGATTTTACGAAGAGCAAAATAAAAAAAATTGTTTCAATTTAAGGTTAGAGTTTAAGAGGAATCAATGCTAATCCTTTTACGATGAAATTTTTTTGGATATTGAACAAGAAATCAATATAGAAATTAATAAAATCATACGATTTCAATATATGTAAAGAAGAATTTGGGCGAAATTTTATGATGTGATATAAGATGAATAATTCTCCACGATGGTCATTGAGGTAAGAGCTACTTGATATGTACCACACGTAGAGCACCATATGATAGGTTGCTTACTACTATAAAGAAGTCGACCCCCATGGGGCCGCTTACTACCACGAGGTCAATGATACACTTAACTATATAAATGACAATGAGTTGGACGAAAGCCACCCAACATCTAACTTGGGTATAACCAACCACTTGAAGAGTGGGGGTCACTCTACCAGAACGTGGGTAAGTGGGGAGGTTTACGTGGGATACGTGGCACCAGCAACCCTCGAATGCGTAGCAACAGGTGCCTATAAATACCTCCAAGGTGAGAAAGATAGTTTCTTCTTAAAATCCGAACTATCTGAATTCCAATCTAATCTCTCCATATTCTCTAAAACTGAACACTAATTCTCACGCCGGATGTACAACGGGGGAGAAAGCTCCGACCTCATTTTGCAGGTGGTAAATACCGATCAGAGCAGCCGGAACACCGTCACATCAGGGAGAACACGAAATTTACATCACTACTATTTCAATGTAAGATAGTAATTATGAACTCGAATGGAGGAAGTATGGAAATTAGATAAATTTCAGTGTTTGAAAGAGAAAATGAGATTTGGAGGCGCGATTGAGCGATTTTGTCCATGAATGAAAATGTTTTGATTTTATTAATTATGTTAGAGAGAGGCTTTGGAGAGAGTTGATAAATGATTTATCATTTATACTTTTTTATTTTCAGTATTCGTGGACCACAAGAAGTGAAAAGGGTATTTTTTTTGTTAAAATGTGTATGTGGTGTAATAGTTTGTTCAGATGGGAATGAAGTAGCCCATCAATTGATCTCATTGGATTGATTGTGACCCTAAATTTTGTTTGTTGTCCGCGTTGATTAATCTTAATGCAAGTTCTTCCCTTTCAAAATAATTAAAAAAATGGGTTAATGAATTCGTTTAAATTATTGTGAAAGGATTGTAGCCAGTTTAGTGCGCGTTTGCCAAATTATTGTGAAAGAATTGAGCCTCACTGAGGTATGGCACTTGAAATCACTGGTAAACACACACTTGGTCTCGAGCACGAGAATGCAGTGGATACTAACTTTTATTTTTGTTTTCATAACATTGTACAATATTATTCAATTTTGTTTTAAAAGTAAGTGTTTTTTTTAGCAAGTGATGTATTCGATGTATTAGAATCAACTTGGAGTACGTAAGTACATTTTTGTTGATAACTTTGTTGACAATCCATATGTTGATTTAAAAAGCAATTAATAAGTACATGTTTGGTTAGACAAAAATAGTGGATTAAAGTTACTCAATTTCAATATTAATTTCAATTATATATTTTTTGAGATTCATAATTTTTTAACCTCATATTTCATCGTTTTTTATTAAAATTTATTAAAAATCTATTTAAACCTTACATGGGCTAAATTCACGAATACATGATGTGATGAGATTTGAAGGAGTCAAAATCTCACAAATCAAATAATTTTTTTCTAATTTTTTGTCATTAACCCAATTTACATAGACGCAATTGTTCGGTGAAGAGAATTTTGATAATTTGAATTCAATTTATCATCACTTCATCAAATCGTAAACGGTGTTGGAGAGCAAGCATTTTTCCTAATTTTAATACCCTTTTCTGATAATCTCTTCAATTAAGTTCTCGTTTGATGATTATTTTTTTGGGAAAATATTGTTTTGAATAGTGAATTTTTTAAAAATGTGTGGTTAAAAAGTTGAAAAATATTTTGAATTTAAAAGTAAAATATTTTATTGTGTGAATGTGTGGTTGAAAATAAATATGTAAAAAATGAGTATTAAAAGAATTAAAGACAAACAAAGACTAAGATCTTATTTGAGTCCTATTTTATAAAAAAATGCATTTTTGAATAATGTATGTGTTGACATACAAAAGTGTAATCCAACTCGAATGACCCAAAGAATGAAGCTCAATTAAGAATTCCAGGAATGAAACCCACAAACAAAGTAACTTCATCGCCAAAACCTGCAGAACGTCCAGAATCTAAGAATATGAAGTGCTTTATGGTCGCCCAGAGCGATGGACCAGTTATCGCCCAAATTATTGAGTCGCCCAGGATCCTAGTAAAGATAACGTCTTGTAGTTATCTAAAGCAGCGGTTTCGAATAGTTTGAGCACACTGTGTCAAGCTCTACGATCTAAGAATTCCAATGACAAGCAGTTATGTAAAAAGCATAGTGACAATAGTTACGAATATTAGTTTTCGACAAGTTGGCCATGACGAAGAAAGTGGGCAGCTAGAAGCAGTTTCCAAACGATTGAAAGCTGTTCAAGAAGTATAAAAGAAAAAAGAAGACAATAAAGAGGAGACCAAACATATCACTCTCAAATAGAGAATATGTAATTTACTTTTCTTAGATTAACTTTAATTCATCATTTTCTTGTACTCATGTTCTTGCGTCCCTTGGAGTCATCCTGTTTATCTCCAATTGTAATTTTCATCAATAAACACCCATTTTTGGGGCTTTATCTCAAGATGTTTGTTCCTTACACAATCGTCTGATCCTTTTTTAATTGTTAGTGACTACCCGGCGAAACAATATGGTTAAAAATTATTATTATTTTTTTGATTTATATGTAATATTATTTTATTAAAAAATTTGATTGAAAATAAATTTTGAAAAAATGAATTTTTGAAAAAATTGGCTCAAACAATCCCATGTATGGCAAACGAAGCAACTACGAGCATATCCGGATTCTGCCACTCCATCTGAAATCAAGTTGATTCGATATTTTAAATCCGCGACTTAAATACAGACTACACCCAGCGTGTAGGTGAAGCAAACAAAACACGCATTCTTACTGAACTCAAAAAATACAAAATCCCCAAATGCGAAATTAAATTCAAAATTTTCCCAATCGAAAATTTTGATTTCCGGTAATTTTTCCAATCGCGTCTTTCTATCAAATAAACTATCTAAATTTAATCTTTTCCAAATTCTCGATTTCACCCCGGCACGGGGATATTCCAATTTACGGTTTCAGCAGTTGCTCGAGTCTTGAAATCAAAATTTTGGATATCTGCTTTCATGAGGTAAATTAATGTTTAATTGTATTTTGGTAATCAGTCATGATTGGAAGTGATTAATTTTTATTTATTGAAATTTTTTAATGCATGCTTTGAATGAAATTTCGTGTGAGGGATTTTGAACGGTAAAAATTAACGTCGTTGGAGACAAATTTGTTGCTTGTTTTTTCTGTTTTTGGTTTTCAGTAAGTGTTCATGAGTTGCATGCGCTGGATTTTTCAATGGAAACAGTAGTTGATATTGTGGGAAATGAGGAAGCTAAAGTTGAAGATAGTATAGCCGCATTAAATAAGCTCAATCCAACTTCCCAGCGAAAGATTGCTGATCCTGTAGTATACCAGCTTGTTCGGGTATACCACTATGCGAAAATTCAGATTATAATTGACATTTGTAATCCACATTTTTGTAAGATATCTTAATACTTTTAGTGGTGAACTGAATAATGATTCTTTGAATGAATGTTAATGTAGTAATTTAATTTTATGTTGTAAGGTTTCTGATGTTTCTTTAGAATCCTTTGATGCCTGACCTTTTATGTGTGTGGTCATCGTTGAGCGTGGTTCTAAGTTGTTAAACTTGTTGAAATATCCTCGAAAATTTTGCTGAGTAAACTACTAGTTTCTTGTGGACATAGTAGAAGCGCCTGACTCTTCTATATATGGTCAGATGGTTACCAAGATTGGTAGGTGATGACCAGTTGTGTATTGATTATTTTTCAAGAAGGACTGTTATTCATCGAATTATCCTAATAAATAAGACACGGATGTTAATTATTATCTGGAATATGTATATGTTAGATGGTTGCGCATGTTTTTCGTTTCTTCTTTCTTCTCCCTGACCTAGCTTTCGTCAAGGATGAAGGATTGATTGTAACGTGGAAGGTTGAGTTGTTGGTTTTCTTTTAGCTGCTAAGTATGCTCTTGTGTGGATCAAGCAACTCTTCATCTTTTATTTTTGTTTTTATCTCCGAGAAAGTAGATTGAAAGTATTTTAACTATCATAGAGGTTGTGAGAGAACGAATATAATCAGATTGTACTGTCTGCATTTAATAATTTCATACTGATTGAAGTGTAGAAGAAACCTAATTTAATAGTTGAATTGATCTATATTACTAGATGCAAGTAGAGCTCTTTAAGTTAGAATCCCTGTGAGCAAAAATCAGGATGAATTGTCATGTTCAGTGAGAGGTATCTATCTTCTTTAGTGCTTTTTTGGGGGCAGAAACTTGACTGTTTGTCATCTTTTAAGTAAATATTAGTTGTGATTATCATGTACCATTTAGGTTGATGGAAATGGGAGATTAGTGCCTGCAACTGAGGATGAAGTTATGGCAGTAGAGGACTTGCTCGAAGATGACAAGAGAGAAAATAGATTTGTTTCAAACTCTGGACAAACTGTGGAATGCAATACAAATTGCGAGCATGATCTGGATGAACTTCAGATTAAAGCATCAGAAGGTCACTACTAGAAATTGTTTTTATTTTTATTCATGTTGTGTTTACCATTGAAACCGTGATTATTGTTGCACAAAGGATGCATGTTCTTTGATTATAAACACTTTAAGGACCCAGCAGGTCATGTACTCTTGATTCTAGTTGGAGTCATATACTTGTGTTTACCATGCTACCTTGTCTCTGTGTGAAATGTCCCAGCTTCCTTTTGCTTTATTCTTTCCTTGGTTTTCAGATTTGTATCCTTCGAAAAATTTCGTCTATCAATGCTTTCTATGTTTAAAAAATCAAACATCCTTCATTAGATATTTTGGTTATGAACCTCTTCTTAATTGGTTTTTTTCTCTTCCTTCAACTCCATGTCATATATCATGCCTTTTCTTTTCTTTTCTTTTTTCCTTTTTCTTTTTGGCTTTCTGTGTTTCTTAGACTTATTTGTATGACAGGTTTACCACTTGATAATGTAAAACTTGATGCGGAAATGTCGAATGTGCGACCCAACCCTGAAGCTGAGTTTGAGAAAGTTAATGTTCAACCTGAGGTACTTTATTTGGTCTTGTATGGGGCGTTCTAAAATACTACAATTTAGATTTTTTCATCCCCCCTCTCCCATTAAACCTTCGCTTTATATAAGAGATCCTGTATCTCATTTAACTGGAAGTTGGCTCCACCATATCCACTGATGAGAAGATCTGCTTTGAATGCACTGCAGCAAAGCGTTGCTCTGTTGGCTCCAACTGTAGATCATGGCAGTGTTTTCCAACATGAGGGATCCTCAAAATCTTCTAATGAATTGGTCGAGAATGAAACCTCCACTTCTGCCGTTGGCACTAGTTCAAAGCCTGATTTTTCTATGTTGAAAGGTGAGATACACCTGGATAATCTTACAGTAAAAGAACTTCAGGAGACTTTCAAAGCAACTTTTGGAAGGGAAACTTCTGTCAAAGATAAGCAATGGCTCAAGAGGAGGATATTAATGGGTTTGACCAATTCATGTGATTTCTCAACCACAACTTTGGTGATCAAAGACAATGGAGTGGTAAAGAAAGGTAAAGAAGATCCTGAAGTTGGATCTTCGAGCGAGAACCGTGAAAGTTCACCAAATTTCCACGATAAAGAAAAGGAAAACCACTCAAATGCTAGTGGCATGGAATCACAGAATTATCTGGTGGTGGGTAATTATGAAAGTGAAAATACGAACACAGAACAACGAGCTACAAAAAGAGTCCGAAAGCCTACCAGACGATATATTGAAGAACTTTCAGAAGGAGAATCTAGGGATTCTTGTGCAAAGTTAATTTCCTCAGTTGGACACCATGTGTATAGTCAGCCATCGACAATCATGCATGTAACACCTGTTCAAAAAGTTGGATTAGACGGAAGATGGCTAATAAGACGAGACTCGCTTGGAGGTTCTGGAGTTCAGGTTCCATATGTTTCTCGGATTCGGCGGAGTCGTCCAAGGGAAAACTTTATGACCCTCATGGTAACTTGAAAGAATACCTTCTTAGCAATATGAGTTTGGGTTTAATAATCTGGATATTCACGATAATTTCTGTGGTCTATTTAAATACTTTGAACTACATTCGTTTGAACAAAGAACAAACACACCTAGTTTTTATGAAGTCAATTAATACTATGAGGGGAACCACTTTTGCTGACTGGTCATAATTATTATTGGTAGTTAATCTCTCTGTGTTTGCATTTGTTCCTGTTGTGGATGGAGCAAGTGGAGTGAGTTCTTCCCCCTTTTCATCCAAGGGCACAAATTCGTTTTAGCTGCTTCTGCTCCCTTGAAGTCTCAATTTGGAATCTGTTGAAAAATGGAGACATTTCCTGTCTTCATTGGGTTATATTCTATTTAGCATTGAAGAATGGTCTCTTGTTAAGCCAAAATGTAACTAATGTAAGGCCGTAAGGGGTTGCTATTTCTCGAAATATTCTTGATGGAACAAGAGAAAATGATACTGGCACTGCAAGCTTGTTATATACTGTCTTTTAGATATAAATATATAATATGTAGAAGTTGTTATATACTGTCTTTTAGATATAAATGTATAATATGCAGACGTTTTAGCTAAGTAGCATGGACATGCCAACCAGACTAGTAAAGAAGGCTGTTGTACGTGGCTAAAACCAGATGTTGAAATTGGGAAAAAAAAAAAGCCCCTGTTTGAGCTCCATTATAATTAGATTTTTAGAAAAATGTATTTTGTAATAGTTATTTTTTTGAAGAATATGTGATTAAAAAAAGAAAGAAAAATTTTGGGTTTACGTGTAATATTGTTTTATTGGAGAATGTGTGGTTGAAAAGAATAGAGAAAAAATGTATTTTCAAATTAATGGAGCCCAAACAAGGGCAAAGTATTTAAATCTGATTTGTTTTCCCAGATGGATTCAAGATCGTCTGAGTAACCGAGTTAGACTTCGACCATCCTCCAAATTTACATTTTAGCAATACTTGTTACGTCAAATCTCGATGTTCACTATCTGAAGAAGATAGATTAACTCAACCTAGTTCAACCTTATCCGTGATTGCAACTCTTAACGCATATTGTCTCAACTGCCTACGGTTGTTCTAGACTCTAAATGAATGCTATTTTGTTATGTTTTACTACCTAAAGATTTTGATAGATATTGAAGGTAGTAGTTATACCTGACACTAGTTAGCACATCTTGAATCCTTATTACATTAATTGTGGCTCCTAGGTTTCTAAACTAAAGAACTACGCCATACGTTGAATTTCATGTTGAATTATCATAAAATTTATCTTGTAGAAGGGTTTTTTCTACTTGAAGAGGTCTAGGTTTTTTAATATGATGTCAAGGGTATCATGGCAGCATCTTCATTTCAATTTTTTAATGACATATAGTTCAAAAGTAATGATAGCACGTTCTCTATTGCTGATGGAAACTTTTATGTGCCTAGCCTGTTACTTCATCTGATAAGCTGCACACTGAAAGGAAAGTTGAGCTGAAGAAGGAGATGAAAAACTTGGATTCGTTTGAGAATTCAGATGATGACGTGGTAACTATGCCTGCAGCAAATGGAAGAATGAGGAGGAAACATCATCGACCATGGACTCTAAGCGAGGTTGTCAAGCTAGTTGAAGGGGTGGCCAAATATGGTGCTGGGAGATGGTCTGAGATTAAACGCCTTGCCTTCGCATCGTATTCTTATCGAACTTCAGTTGACCTCAAGGTAGGTATTATTATAGTATTTTATAATTAATCAAGTCAAAACAGGCTTAGTTTCCACTGGAAGTTTAGGTGCGCAATTGAACTTCGTAATTTTCTATTAAGATTTGAAAACATATTATTATTTTGCAGGACAAGTGGAGGAATCTGCTGAGAGCTAGTTTTGCACAGTTGCCAGCTGAAAAGGGGGTGAGCAAATTGTTCATTTACAGTCACCTTAGACTCTCAGTTCCAACCCTTCCACACACAAAACATGTGACTTAAAGTTGATTCCGGAAGAAGATATCTGCTAATTTAAAGTATGAATATGCTGCTAATATATGTGAACGCCATGTACTCTTTTCCTTGTTCTTTCGTAATATTTGGAGGGAGGTTTGAAGTTTAGTCACCATTGTCATGTTTCACCACACATGTAAATCGTGCAATAGGTAGACATTGATCATCGTTGCATGAAAATGATTGGTGGAGCTAAGTTATACCTGGTGTTTAATTCAAGTTTAATTGACGTAGGGATGTCAAACGGGGCGAGCCACTCGCTGGGTCACTGGCTGCTTCGCGAGCTAGCTAGGCTAGGCACTCCCCAAAGCGAGCATGAACCAGCTCGTGCAGTGGGCCGAGCTCATTAACACCCCTAGGTTGACATAGTCCCTGTCTATTAAGCCTGGTGGACTGGACTAAATTTGGTAGCGACAGTCCATTTCGGATTTTTGACCGGGCTAATAGTGTTGATTTCTGATCATGTTCTATTGAAGTGGTTGTATGTGTCATAGTTGCCATGTGTTTTTCTTTGATGGGGTTCCTGTTGAACTGCATATTTCAATTTTTAAAGCTCAATATGCAAGAGCGAGAAAGAGATTATTATTATTTTGGAAAGCCACGTGGGGGTGGGGATGAATTTGCCATGTACATTCACGTTCTGTACTGCAACAGTAAAATTCCTTGTTAAATATCTAAAGATAGAATTAGTAGGAACTCTTTTTCATCCCTATTCTGCAAAAACATTCTAGTTGTAGTTTTTATTTACTATATAATTTCAAATTTACAGTTCCTTGCTTTGCTGAATAATTTCCTGCAGCCATGCCTCAAATTCTTCTTTTTGCTTCTTTAGAACATCCTTATTTTAGTTTCCGTTTAATGGAGTTTATCGCTTTGACCACAGATGCAGATGCAGAGTTCCCGTAAGCATGCTTCAATTCCTATCCCTGCTCCAATTCTGTTACAAGTAAGAGAACTGGCTGAAATGCAAGCACAGGTTCCTCCGAGCTTCAGTGCAAGCAAGTTTGCTGGAGACACTGGTAGTGATAGAAATAGTGTGCATGAATAAGTCCAGGGATCTCGCAGCATACATACCAGATTTTAGTTGTCTAATTTAGGATCAAGTACGATAGAGCTGTCATAAGTTCTGTAACTGTCTGTTATCTCGTTGATTGCTGGGCATTACACGGACGAATAATAGTTTGTAACTGCGATCACTTGTGTGTGTGTTTTGAGGCTGCAGTCATTTCACGGTGCCATGTGCTTCAGATTTTTTGCTTAAAAGTTCAATAGAGCGCCGAAATCTTTTGCCTTCTATTGTCAAAATTAAATCGAAATCTTCAATAAATGGCTTAAAACATGTGCAATGAGCAAACAAGCTGATAGAACGAGTCTTAGGAAGAATAAAAATATGAAGCATGCTCAAATGCTTTTCTACTTGTATGTCTATACATATAACGGACCAATAGTATATAATTTGTATTGTAGAAATACAAATAAAGACAACAGAATTTAGGAAAATTGGTGCAAATGGTTCCAAACTTGTCAATATTGTATAATTGGTTCAAACCTTCAAAAGAGGCGCAAATGAACGATTGCCCTTATTGTGTGGGATGCAATTGTATTTTTTTTTTGAAGGGGCAATTTCTTCAAATTAAAAGAAAATAACATTTTTTATTTTTTAAAATTTTGGAAAAATAAATAACACGTTTTATCTTCTTTCACTCACTCCACTCAACCCCACCATACCCAACTTCAATTTCTAGAGTTAAATGTTTGAATAGCCACTAAATTTCAGGCTTGCTGATGAAGGCAAAATAATAATTTTATTTAATTCTGGATTTGTCCTTTTTGGTGAATTGTTAGTCAAATTAGATTGAAAACGGGCCAATGATCACAACTCAGGGCCTGTGGCCCTGAAGCACGTCAGATTTTGTGTAGATTCCGTCGTTTAGGCCTTCAATTAAGCGTTTTTGCCGTTTATGGTAATTTTTGTTTTGGCAATATCTTAGTCAAATAAACTCGAATTTAATTTCCGTTTGTTGAGGAATGATCCTGGTAATTAGGAGAATCAAGATCCGT